TTCTCGCAACGTTTCTTCAAATCCCTTTCTCTTCTCTTGTCTCCTTTTTTTGTAATCTCGTTCAATTTGACCAATTCTCACGTGGTCCTGCTGCTTCTCGCGAGATTTCTTCTCTGTGTCCCCTTTGTCGTGCGTGAGCTCTCTCTCAGCGTCAACCGCGTGTCTCTCCTTTCCCGCCGAGGCTTGGTTCCTCTCCTCTCGGCTCGTGTGTTTCGGTCTCCCAGGAGGTTCTCCAGCTCCCCCTCCTTCCCTCTCCCCCGTCACTCGCTCCCTGCTCTATCAGCGAGATTGTCTCTAAGGGCCTCGTCCTTTCGTCGGCGCGGGTCCGGAGGCAATCTTCCAGCTGGAAGTAAGCAGGGGGTAATCTGGGGTCGTTCTATTCCTTTTCTCCCTTTCTTTCCTCTTTCTTTCTTCCTTCCTTCCTTCCTTCCTTTCCTTCCTTCCTTCTTCCTTCCTTCCTTCCTTCCTTCTTAGAATCATAGAGTTGGAAGATACCTCATGGGTCATCCAGTCCAACCCCCTGCCAAGATGCAGGAAAATCACATTCAAAGCACCCCCAACAGATGGCCATCCAGCCTCTGCTTAAAAGCCTCCAAAGGAGCCTCCTTCCTTCCTTCCTTCCTTCCTTCCTTCCTTCCTTCCTTCCTTCCTTCCTCTCCTCTTTCTTTCTTTCCTTCCTCCCTTCCTCCTTCCATCCTTTCTTCCGTCCTTCCTCCTCCCTTTTTCCTTCCTTCCTTCTTTCCCCTTTTCCTTCCTTCCTCTTTCTTTCTTTCCTTCCTTTCTTCCTTCTTTCCTCCCTTTCCTCCTTCCTTCTTTCCTCCCTCTTTCCTCCCTCCCTCCTTTCTTCCATCCTTCCTTCTTCTTCCCTCTTTCCTCCTTCCTTCTTTCCTCCCTCTTTCCTTCCTTCCTCCTTTCTTTCATCCTTCCTTCCTCCTCCCTCTTTTCTTCCTTTCTTCCTTTTTTCCTCCTTCTTTCCTCCCTTCATCCTTTCTTTCTTCCTCCCTCCCCTCCCCTTCCCTTTCTCCAGCTCTGTGGGGCCTGCCTCACTCTGTTCCAGAGTCAGCATGGCTCTCTTTGTGCTTCTTTCCCCCCTCCCCTTTTTACAGGTCACCTTTCCTTCCCAGTGACATTGCAGAGGGCCACTTCACCTAGCGAGCAAGAGCATTGGGTGCCTGTGGATGCCAGCAGGCGCCACTAGAGGGAGCCCGCCCTGCTCTTTGGCCAGGAGAGGCGGAGCCTGAGCCAGGCTGGAGGGAAAGGAAGAAGGAAGGAAGGAAGGGGAAAGGAGGAGTGGAGAGCCGGGTAAGTGGAAGAGAGAAAGGAGGAGGAGGAGGAGGAGGAATGGGAGAAGGGGGTAATATCTCATGCTCTGTTTCATATTACTGGGAGCAAGACAGGGACTCCTCTCATCTCAAGCAAAAAGGTGTAAGTGTTCTAGCCAGTCCCTGTATCTTGCAAATTCTGTTTTTCCTTGCAAGGTGTTTACAAACATGTGTGACTGCAAAGAGGATGATGATGATGATGATGATGTCCCCCAGCTGTCCTCTGAAGCCTTAGCTGCTCTGCAGGAGTTCTATATGGAACAGCAGCAGAAAGAAGAAGACATCAAGATAGCAGGAGGATCAGACAACTGTCCTCTTGGTTTGATAGAAGAGAACTGGGTAAGCAGGCCACTCAAATAGTATTAACACGTGTACAGGTGGAAGTAGTGAGGAGAGTGGCCCCCAGCAAGGCAACGAAGGGTAAAATAAAAGGTCTTTAGGTTGCTGTGAGCTTTTCAGGCATTAAATAGCCTTGCACCTTCAAAGCCTGACTGCCTCCAGCCACCTAACACCTTCCAACAAAGGATTCCCCCGGACAGGAAGCAGCCAGGCTATGAAGCTGCCAGGGTATTCAATGGTGGCTAATTGCAACATTCCCACTTGCCACAAACAGACAAGAATTCTTTCTCCCACCCTTTCCACAGGTACATATATAAACTTGCCTACTTTTCAACAGACCTCACAACCTCTGAGGATGCTTGCCATAGATGTAGGTGAAACCTTAGGAGAGAATGCTTCTGGAATGTGGCCATACAGAGCGGAAAGCTCACCAAACCCAGTATTCAGGCATGTAGCTCTACTCCACACTCGCATGTCGTGGATTCCACTTTGTAGCCCCATTTCTTAAGATTGGCTCTGCATCTCATGGTGCCAGAGCGCAATCCGTTCAGTGCCTTCCAGGTCGCCCAGTCTCTGTGTGCCCAGGGGGGAGTCTCTCATTTGGTATCAGCCATTGATTGAGGTTTTGGGTTTTAGCCTGCCACTTTTGGACTCTTGCTTGCTTAGGTGTTCCAGCGAGTGTCTCTGTAGATCTTAGAAAACTATTTCTTAATTTAAGTCATTGATGTGCTGGCTGATACCCAAACAAGGGATGAGCTGGAGATGTCTTTGCCTTAGTCCTTTCAGTATTGGCTGCTACTTCCCAGCGGATGTCAGGTGGTGCAATACCGGCCAAACAGTGTAATTTCTACAGTGGTGTAGGGCGCAGACACCCCGTGATAATGCATGTCTCATTAAGAGCCACATCTACTGTTTTAGGTGGTGAGATGTGTTCCACACTGGGCATGCATACTCAGCAGCAGAGTAGCATAGCGCAAGGGCAGATGTCTTCACTGTGTCTGGTTGTGATCCCCAGGTTGTGCCAGTCAGCTTTCGTATGATATTGTTTCTAGCGCCCACTTTTTGCTTGATATTCAGGCAGTGCTTCTTGTAGGTCAGAGCACGGTCCAGAGTGACTCCCAGGTATTTGGGGTGCGCTGCAATGCTCCAGTGGGATTCCAAACCCAGTGATTCTGGCCATGAAAGCCTTCGACAAATGTCTTCATCTATCTTGGATGTAAATTTGCATTTCTTTTTATTTATTTTTTATTTACAGTATTTATATTCCGTCCTTCTCACCCCGCAGGGGACTCAGGGTGGATTACAATGTACACATATATGGCAAACATTCAATGCCAAAGACACACAGCAGAAATAGACAGACAGTCAGAGGCTATTTAACTTTTCTGGCCGCCAGGGGAGCTGTCGCTTTCATCGTCCATCTGCAACGCTGATGGAGTACTTCCGCATTCCCCGTATGCTTTTGCTGGAGTGCTTTGCTGGAGTCTTTTTTATGGCCTCATAAATTTTGTTAAATTAGCCTCCCCACACATAGATGGTACCTAATTTTCCTACTTGACAGATGCAACTGTCTTTCGGGTTGCAAAGGTCAACAACAAGCTACACAATTGGTTGGAAGCTCACTCCGACCTGGCCTGGCTTCGAACTCATGACCTTGTGGTCAGAAGTGATCTTAATGCAGCTGACACTCAGCCAGCTGCGCCACAGTCCCGGTGCTTTTGGTTGTACTTGATTTTTATGTAGATAGAAATGCATCTACCAATACAAAAAATGTTGTTTGCCTGTTAAAAAACACTTTGTTTCAGTGCAGTTCATTGTCCCAAACTTATTTGAAGCAAACATCAGTTTTGGAAGATTTGAGGAGTTGCGCTTCGGGCATGGATAAGGACAACTGAAGTCCTGATTTAACATCAAGACACAAAACTTATATTTTTAATATAGTTTTGACTTAAGAACAAGGATGTGGATGAGGAACAGGAACCAAGAGAGGACCATATGTAAAGCCGCCTTGAGTCCCCTTCGGAGTAGAGAAAGTCGGGGTACAAACTGAATGAATGAATGAATGAATGAATGAATGAATGAGATATTATTTCTATCCTGTCTTATCTCCTCAGTAGGGACTCAGAGGCAAACATACAATGCCGTATAAGAATACAAAATAACATAAACCAAAAGATAAAGCCCGATTTACACTTACACAAGCAAGAAAGACAATCAGACCCAGTAGTCCTCATTTTCAATATTGGTTACCAAATGTGAATTTGGAATGCAGATATTGCTGCAAACATCTCCTGCACTTTAGCGCCTTGTTTTTAAAGATATTATGCATAGTTTGCATTGCTTCTACCTAGCTCAGCTTTCTGGATTTTCTTATTTTTATGTTTTTAGTCTGTAAACTGATGTTTTCTATATGTTACTATACAGAAAGTGTGCAACCGTTAACATTTGTGAATTTTTACCTGCAGCAACTGAGCCAGTTTTGGTATGATACTGAAACTGCAGAGCGTTTGGCGAAAGAGGCTGTAAGATCAGTTGGAAAAGGTGGCAGGTAAGGTTACAAATCATTGTCACATGTCGCTTGGCTTTGTGGATTAATATGATAAACGCACAGGACTAAAACATTGCTGGTCTTTATCCCTTCAGCATTGTATATAATATTGAAGGGGCCATGGTGGTTTAGCGAGTTCAACTGCTAGGATGCAGAACTTGCTGACCAAAAGGTTGGTGGTTCAAATCTGCAGGAAAGGGTGAGCTCCCTTTGTTAGCCCCAGCTTTACCAACCTAGCAGTTTGAAACATGCAAATATGAACTGGCCATATAGCCCAGAAAACCTACAACAACCCAGTGATTCCAGCCATGAAAGCCTTCGACAATAAACTCTTTGTGATTTTTTAAGATTGGACTCTGCATGTTTGCCTCCTAAGCTCTGAATTCTTTACAGCCACATCACACGGCACTTCACGCTCTGCTTGCTAATGAACCAATGCTCACCTTTTTGTATCCTGCTTATATTTTTGGATGCTTTTATTTAATTTAGAGTAGTTTCCCCTAACACTCACATGGCTGTTTTCAATCCGCTAGAATGGACAGGGAGCTTGGCTGAATGTCAGGAGCTCACCGTGACCCAGCTTCAAACTGTCAACCACAGCAGCTGATGATTAACCTGCTGTGCTAAATGGCTGGACAGATGGTCATGTTGCTTTCATTTTATTTACATGGGATATGTAATCCTTTTGTTACTTGAGTGTTCTTCTTTTTTGTCCACTGTGATCAACCTTCTGTGTTCAAATACTGTGATTTTATATTGTTCTGATATGTCTATACTGTTTCTTGTATTTTATTTTATTGTTGTATTTTTATGTTACATATTTGCATTGTTGTATTGCTGGGCTTGGCCTCATGTAAGCCGCCCTGAGTCCCCTTGGGGAGATGGTGGCGGGATATAAATAAAGTTGTTGTTGTTGTTGTTGTTGTTGTTGTTATTATTATTATTATTATTATAAACATAACAAGATGAGTCCACAGCAGACAAGATCACTCTGCTGGCTGTTGTATTGGATCATACGTCGGACACTTCCCAAATGTCTAGGACTGTGTGATGTATTGGCGAATAATGCGTGCAGATCCCAGTAAGGTGGCCTTCTGCACCTGGCACATGGTAATTTTGTCAGCGCTGATTGTGTTTAAGTGCAGGGCAAGGTCTTTCGGCACTGCACCCAGTGTGCCGATCACCACTGGGACCGCCTTTACTGGCTTGTGCCAGTAATAATAATAATAATAATAATAATAATAATAATAATAATAATAATTTATTGTCTGTTTTTTAATATTGTAAAATTAGTTAGGATACACTTGTAACTTGGACAAGTTTTTTTTTTTAAAAAAAAACAGTGCACATACTGGCTGAGGAATGCTGGGAGTTGCAGTTCAAAGAGCTACTTTTTCTTTTGCGTATACTGGTAATAATAACTGAAACTCTTCCATAATTGTTTCTTTATCTTTTTCAGGATCGCCTGCGTTAGTGCGCCCAGCATTTATCAAAAATTGAAAGAACAGAATAACGATAATTTCTCAATGTGTATATTGGAATATGACCAAAGATTTTCTGTGTATGGAGCTGAGTATGTTTTCTATGATTACAACGATCCTTTGAATCTTCCGGCCAGCCTCCAAGAACATAGTTTTGACATTGTCTTAGCAGACCCACCCTACTTGTCCGAAGAGTGTCTCAGGAAAACGGCAGAAACCATAAAATACCTAACAAAAGGGAAGGTTCTACTTTGTACAGGTATATATTTCTTTATTTCAGCGCTGTTGTTCCATTGCTTGTAATGTAAAGAGAAGGCAAAAGGAGCTTGTAATTCATCAGTGCCATCATTTCTACTACGCCCTCCAGATAATTTGATGTTATGTGCCTTTGAGTTGTTTCTGACTTATAGTGATCTTAACTGGATGAGAGCTAACAGATTGAAACTGAATTCAGACAAGACAGAGGTCCTACTGGTCAGTCGTAAGGCCGAACAGGGCATAGGGTTACAGCCTGTGTTAGATGGGGTTACACTCCCCCTGAAGACGCAGGTTCGCAGCTTGGGAGTGATCCTGGACTCATCGCTGAGCCTGGAACCCCAGGTCTCGGCGGTGGCCGGGAGAGCTTTTGCACAATTAAAACTTGTGCGCCAGCTGCGCCCATACCTTGGGAAGTCTGATCTGACCACAGTGGTCCACGCTCTTGTTACATCCCGAATAGATTACTGCAATGCGCTCTACGTGGGGTTGCCTTTGAAGACTGTTCGGAAACTTCAACTAGTCCAATGGGCAGCAGCTAGACTTCTCACTGGAGCATCATACAGAGAGCATACCACCCCTCTGTTATGTCAGCTCCACTGGCTGCTGATTCAGTTCCAAGCACAATTCAAAGTACCGTTCTTGACCTATAAGACCCTACACGGCACCGGCCCAGCGTAACTGTCTGAACGTATCTCCTTCAACGTCCCACCTAGGAATTTAAGATCTTCTGGAGGGGCCCTGCTCTTGGCCCCGTCCTTGTCACAGATTAGATTGGCGGGGACGAGGGACAGGGCCTTCTCGGTGGTGGCCCCCCGCCCGTGGAATTCACTCCCTGGGGAAATAAGATCATCGTCATCCCTCCTCTCTTTTAGAAGGAAATTAAAAACATGGATATGGGTCCACGCCTTTGGGTAATCTGGCAGACTGACAAGGACAATGACAACTAAAGCTTTGTAAACGGACTATGATAAGCGGGATGAATTTATTAATTAAGGACTTGGCAAAATAATGGTCACCAGGCTGGCTTTTTATTGAATTAATGTAATGTTTTAATTGTTTATAATTATTGTTACTATGTATTTATTATGTTGAATTGTAGGCATCAAACACATGCCGGTTAGAAGCCGCCCTGAGTCCCCCTTAGGGGGTTGAGAAGGGCAGGGTAGAAGTACCCAAAATAAATAAATAAATAAATTAAAGCAGGGTTTTCTGTGGCTAAGAATGTGGGACTGGCTCAGAGACATTCAATGGGTTTTCATGGTTGAACAAGGATTTGAACCCTGTTCTCCAGAATCATAGTCCATTGTTGAGATCCCTGCCCCATGTTGGAGCAATCCTCCAGATCAGGCCTGGGCAAACTTCGGCCCTCCAGGTGTTTTGGACTTTAACTCCCACAATTCCTAACAGCCTCAGGTCCTAAGCAGCTGAAGGGGAAAAGGAAAGGGCCCAAGGCTGTTAGGAATTGTAGGAGTTGAAATCCAAAGCACCTGGAGGGTCGAAATTTGCCCAGTCCTGCTTCAGATAATTACAAATATCAGTTTGTAGTTTTTGATTGTCCTTCATCTCTTTGTCTTTGATTCCATTGTTGTTGTTGTTGTTAGTAGTAATAGTAGTAGTACTATTGCTCTTATAGATTTGTTTTTCATCTAAAATAGGTTTCTATTTTTATGAATTTGGACAGTATCTAGATAAAAGTAATAATATTGGGAGCCCTGGGCATCCCTTCTGCTACAGATGGTGTGTTGAAAGTGACCACTTGAGGGCAGCATTTTCACTGTAACTCAGTTTATTAAGTGGGGAAAGATTATGGAGAAATGTCAAGTCAAAAGTGACAAAAGAGAAGTGGCATTAAATGAATACAGGGGTTAATATACAAATAAGATAATTTTAAATGAAAAGGAAGGGCTTAGAAAGTAGTTTCAAGTGAATTTCTTATGGAGACATGTTTAAATAAGGAATTGATATTGGTGGAAAATGAAATGAAGTACATCTGATGTCTGAAGCCTTTGAGCTGAGAAGTTGGGACAATTTTACAATCATATACAATATGATTTCTCTCTCCTTTTTTCCCCTCTTCCCCTTATCTTATGTAAATTACCTAAAATTAATGGTTTTAGCTGTCTTAATTGTTTATTGTTTTTATATGGTTTATATTATAGTACGTGTGAAAAAGATCTTGGAGTCCTTGTGGACAACAAATTAAACATGAGCCAGCAATGCGATGTGGCGGCAAAAAAAGCCAATGGGATTTTGGCCTGCGTCAAAAGGAACATAGTGTCTAGATCTAGGGAAGTAATGCTACCCCTCTATTCGCTTTGGTTAAACCACACCTGGAATATTGTGTCCAATTCTGGGCACCACAATTGAAGAGAGATATTGACAAGCTGGAATGTTTCCAGAGGAGGGCAACTAAAATGATCAAGGGTCTGGAGAACAAGCCCTATGAGGAGCGGCTTAAGGAGCTGGGCATGTTTAGCCTGAAGAAGAGAAGGCTGAGAGGAGATATGATAGCCATGTATAAATATGTGAGAGGAAGCCATAGGGAGGAGGGAGCAAGCTTGTTTTCTGCCTGGAGACTAGGACGCGGAACAATGGCTTCAACTACAAGAGAGGAGATTCCATCTGAACATGAGGAAGAACTTCCTGACTGTGAGAGCCGTTCAGCAGTGGAACTCTCTGCCCCGGAGTGTGGTGGAGGCTCCTTCTTTGGAAGCTTTTAAACAGAGGCTGGATGGCCATCTGTCAGGGGTGATTTGAATGCAATGTTCCTGCTTCTTGGCAGGGGGTTGGACTGGATGGCCCATGAGGTCTCTTCCAACTCTTTGATTCTATGATTACATGTAATGGTTTTTGACTGCATTTTATCTTGTGGGACATTGATTGCCAAATGTAAACCGCCTCAAGTCGCCTCCAGGCTGAGAGGGGTGGTATACAAATATAGTAAGTAAGTAAATAAATAAATAAATAAATAAATAAAATTTCACAATAAAGATGATTTATTTAAAAACAAACAAACAGTGAGACACACAGTCACAAACAAAGGCAGAGGCTTCTCCTTTCATTTCCGGCTTCTGGAGGCGATGCTTATCTCTGGCTCTGGGGAGGCACTTTCTCCTTTTTCAAGCTGAGGAGCCTGTGTTGTCACCTCCTGATTGTGTAGCCAGCAAGATTGCTTGGAGCATCTCTTTGCCTTTTCCCACCGAAGCGGTACCTATGTATCTACTCACATTTGTATGTTTTCAAATTGCCAAGTTGGCAAGAGCTGGAGCTTGACAGACAGGAGTTGCTTGCGGTTTCAAACTTGCTGACCTTAAGGTCAGCAGTTCATCCAACCTTCAGGTCAGCAGTTCAGCAGCACAAGGTTTTAACCCATTGCACCACCGCAGCTCCGTAAATAGTTTCTAAAACAATGGACAGTTTGAATCAGTGGATCTCTGGATTCCAGTTGTTGGTGTAGACAGCAGAAATTGGCTTTTGTCTACTTCTCCTACTTAGATGTTGTGTTAACAGTTTATGCCCATGTTTTTGTTTTATATTGTATGTTTTTGTATTATTTTGCATATGTGGAAACAACTCTGAGTCCTCTAGGGGAGATATGGCGGTATATAAATAAAGTTGTCATCACCACTGTGATTGTGTTTATTGGAATGTTTATTTTATTATTTTTTTCCTTTTTAATGTCTCTTTGATAATATTGTTGTTGTCTGTTGTATATGTTTTGATTTTATTGCTGTATTATGTTGTCTGGGCTTGGCTCCATGTAAGCCGCTCTGAGTCCCCATCGGGGACATGGTGGCGGGGTAGAAATAAAGATTATTATTATTATTATTATTATATATTTATTCTCCTGTTTCTGGCTTTCAGTCAAGTATTTGACTGGCCACTGATGGAAACAATGCTAGGCTAAATTGGACTAATCCAAGACAGCTCTTTTTAAAATTTTAAGGCATATTTGTTTTTTCTTTCTTTTTTTTCTTAGGTTCAGTCATGGAAGAACATGCTGCAAAGTATCTTGGTGTGAAGATGTGCAAGTTTATTCCAAAACATACTCGAAACTTAGCCAATGAGTTTCGATGTTATGTGAATTATGATTCTGGACTAGATTTTGATGCTGTCTCTTGACAACAAGCATAAAATATTTGTGACATATTTCATTGTGAAGCAGTTTTCCTTTTGTGCGTGATGTAAACATTTGTCTTTTCTGGCCGTAAGGAAACAGATGGTGACGAGGATGTAATAAGCAAGGGATTGGATTCATGGAACATGACAGCAACTTGTTGGTTTTGATGGATTACTATGTGTTCTCATGTAAAAGTCAAGCTCATGCATAAGTAGAGGGCAGGTTTTGGAGGCAGAAGTATGGATTTTGATATTTATTATTTATAGTATTTATATTCCGCCCTTCTTACCCCAAAGGGGACTCAGGGTACATCATTGAACATACATATGCGGCAAACATTCAATGCCATTTTATACACAAACAAGACAGAGGTATATATCGACTTTTCCAATCTTTGGCATCTTGGAGGCTTTTTGTGCTCGGTTCCAGCCACAGGGAGGGGTGGGGTGCTGTCGCTCCATCTCCCTGCCGAAGAGCATCATCAATCTTTATTATGGTCCAAAGACCCAATTTGCTCTGCGGATAAAGATTTTGATATGACTAGGGGATAAGTCAAGGGTCATTCCATGGATTGGGGAAAGCACTGATGCCACATGAGAAGGCCAAGGTGTAATAGAAAAATTTGCATGAAACTGATGATTGTGACAATATCAGATCAATGCTGGTTTACCAACTGCCCTAAAACAAACAGCGAGAAGCTTATGGATTAGAGCAGTGGTTCTCAACCTTCATAATGCCGCGACCCCTTAATACAGTTCCTCATGTTGTGGTGACCCCCAAATATAAAATTATTTTCATTGCTACTTAATAACTGTAATTTTGCGACTGTTATGAATCTTAATGTAAATATCTGATATGCAGGGTGTATTTTCATTTATTGGACGAAATATGGCACAAATTTTGTCCAATACGCCCAAATATGAATATTGGTGGAGTTAGGGGGGATATTGATTTTGTCATTTGGGAGTTGTAGTTCCTGGGATTTATAGTCCACCTACAACCAAAGAGTGTTCTGAACTCCACCAATGATGGAATTGAACCAAACTTGGCACACAGAACTCCCATAACCAACAGAAAAAACTGGAAGGGTTAGGTGGGCATTGACCTTGAGTTTGGGAGTTGTAGTTCACCTTCATCCAGTGAGCACTGTGGACTCAAACAATGATGGATCTGGACCAAACTTGGCACAAATACGCAACATTCCCAAATGTGAAGACTACTGGAGTTTGGGGAAAATAGATTTTGACATTTGGGAGTTGTTGTTGCTTTGATTTATAGTTCACCTACAATCGAAGAGCATTCTCAACCTCACAAGCGATAGAATTGGGCCAAACTTCCCACACAGATCCCCATGACCAACAGAAAATACTGTGTTTTCTGATGGTCTTTGGCGACCTCTCTAGCACCCCCTTGCAACCCCCCAGGGGTCCTGACCCCCAGATTGAGAAACGCTGCTTTAAAAGTAATTAAGAAATTTGATACTCAATACAATGAATAGACTTGCCAAGTTTGAACTGAAAGAGAGATACGGAGATAAATATTGCTTTTTTATGGCTTGGCATATGTCCCAGAGGAATTCATGAGATCGCCGTGGTGGGAGCAGCTTGGCTGACGTCTTCTGAGTGTCACACTATGCATCTCTGCCTAGCTGCTCATTTGCTCTGGTGCTGCCCACCAACATATGTCGTAGTAAGTTGGTTAGAAGCCGTTTGGATGATGCTAGACAGGACATTCCACCCTGTTGTTGATTCTGATAAGATTGGAGGGAGATATTGAAACAAAAAAAATGGGGTGAGTGGGCAAAAAGAAGGAATGGATGAAACAAGAGTGAGGTTATTTATTTATCGTGTCATCAGCAACCATTGTATTACAATTCTAACAGAGCAAAACAAACACAGAGATTAAAAAGAAAAAAAACCACACAGATTTTGCAAATTTGGTATTTGGTTAAATGTCCTTTGACCAGTATCTGGCCACTTGGAGTGCCTCTGGGGTTGCCGCAAGAAGGTCCTCCATTGTGCATGTGGCAGGGCTCAGGGTGCATTGCAGCAGGTGGTCAGTGGTTTGTTCTTCTCCGCACTCGCATGCCGAGGATTCCACCCTGTAGCCCCACCTCTTAATCAAGAAATAGTTTTCTTAGATCTACAGAGACACTCGCTGGAACACCCCAGCAAGCGAGAGTCCAAAAGTGGCAGGCTCAAACCCAGCACCTCAATCATGGTGATACCAGATGAGAGACTCCCCCCTGGGCACACAGAAGACTGGGCGACTTGGAAGGCACTGAACAGACTGCGCTCTGGCACCACGAGATGCAGAGCCAAGAGTGAGGTGGAAACATGGGACAGTTGAAAGGATCCACACACAACATCCTCTGTATCTTGCCAACCGACCTCACAATTCCAGCTTTCTCTGGTGCTTTTTATAATTCCCATTGGAGTGGAGACTGAGAACAAGAAACTTGCTTAAGTTCTTCTTATGACTTCACTGTTAGCATAAAATCGAAGTTGGGCCCAATTCCAGCACACTTTCTATTGCCCTATCATTGCACATTTCTAAAACTTTGAAAACCCAATTTTCAACCTTTTTTCATTTTCAGTAAAAGTGACACTTAACTCTCATTTCTGTGGATTAACGAGAAATAACAATTATGTAATGTTTGCCTTATTTTATCTTCTGGACACCTGAAAAATGATTCCCTTGAAGCACGAAAACGTCATTTTAGTTGTGGAGACCCTGATGGCGCAATGGGTCTCAGTCAGGACTGCTGATTGAAAGGAGCAGAGTCCAGGGAGCAGAGTGAGCTCCCATCTGTCAGCTCCAGCTTCCCATGCAAGAACATGAGAGAAGCCTCCCACAGGATGGTAAAACATCCAGGCGTCCACTGAACAGCGTCCTTGCAGACGTCCAATTCTCTCGCACCAGAAGCAACTTGCAGTTTCTCAAGCCGCTCCTGACACGAAAAAAAAAAGTTCTATCTTATCCTTTAAGCAAGTGCTTCATTTAGGAATATGCTTGTGTTTCAGCATGTTTGAGTATTTAGTATAATCTCTTACTTCCTTTTTGTAACAAGATACATATTTTTCATTACGAATTGCCACCTTGTAAATCTGGTCTGCGATAAATTATTGCTACGCTTAGAACGGGGAAATGCCATTTTATTAACTTGTTAAAGCGCTATAGAGAAATGGGCACTGTACCGTGGAAATGGTATGTCAGAAATTCTGTTTTTTTAAGAGTTCATTTTAAGTGATTAGCTTGCCATGTTAATTTTCCAGATGCATTGTAAACTTGATTTTCTCATGTGGTTGGGTAGCAAAAGACTTATTTCCCAATTAGGAAGAGTGTGACTCTAATGAAATACTCAGCGTGTGTCTTGCCGCATTTTCTCCTACCAACTAATTATACGTTTTCTCCAGGCAATGCACAAGCTACTAAGCACTTTGGTTCCCCAAAATACATTTATCTTTTTTGATGTTATTTATCAAGGATCTTTTTAAAGAATATGAGTGAAATTTCAATTTGCAGCACTAAATTGCTTTTACTAAGCCTGCTCAACATTTCATAGAATTATAGAGTTGGAAGAGACTTCGTGGGCCATCCTGTGTAACCCCCTGCCAAGAAGTAGGAAAAACGCATTCAAAGCACCCCAGACAGATAACCTGAAAGACAGCTGCATTTGTCAAGTAGGAAATTTAGGTACTGCTTTATGCAGGGAGTCTAATTTAATTTACGACGCCATAAAACCTTCCAGCAGCATGCAGAAGAATGAGGAAGTACTCCATCAAAGGACACGGTGTCACAAGTGGACGATGAAGTGGCAGCTCCCCCTGTGGCTGGAATTGAGTCCACGACATGTGAGTGTGGAGGAGAGCAAACCACAAACTCACAGCAACACCAGAGGCACTCCAAGTGGTCAAAGGAAATCTAATACAATGCCAAGTTTTTAACTTTGTGATTTTTAAAAATACATTATAACTGTATCCTCAATTTCCTTCTGACACGATAAATCAATAATCAAAACTAGGGGGCATTGGTGCTTTGCTTCTAAAGTGTTGCTAAAGTTTTGGTGGTGAAAATTTCAGAACTCTAACCAAACTTTCAAAATTTCATTATAAATGCCAGTTCCTCATTGGTTCTGTCATAAAAATCGCCGATAACAAAATAATAATGAAATTTTGAAAGTTTTATTAGAATTCTGAAATTTTCACTACCAGAACTTTAGCAACACTTTAGAAGCAAAGCACCAGCTTTAGCAACACTTTAGAAACAAAGCAACAGCGCCCTCTCATTCTGTAACTACTTTAGAACCATTTAGAACCATGGATTGCCCATGCCTACTGTCTACTTAGCTGAGCATGAATGTTGTAGGGTTTTCTTGAGCAGGAATACTTAGTCCCCTTCCACACAGCTGTATAAAATCCACACTGAACTGGATTATATGGCAGTGTGGACTCAGATATTCCAGTTTAAAGCAGATATTGTGGATTATCTGCCTTGATATTCTGGGTTATATAGCTGTGTGGAAGGACCCTCAGAGGTGGTTTGGCCTCTTTGTTTCTCTGAAATATAGCATACAGCACTGTTACTGGGAAGAAATTTGAAGCCAACCTTACTTCCATATGACTGCAATGATATTTCCCTAAACTAGTCATGTTTGAACAAAAGAACTTAATGTAAAGGAGATTGGTGCTTATCTCCAGGCCTGCTTGATTTAGAAGTACTTTCCTCAATTTGCCTGGAAGAGTCTTCCGTCATCCGTGCAGTGAAGTCTGACATTTCCCCAGTGTCTGACCTTGCCACATATTGTATTTGAGTTTGAAAGCAATTCAAGTGGGAAAGTATTTCTGAAGCTGTATGCCCTGGATGTTCAAACAACCTTCTGTTTGCATTTCCCTAAACTGGTCTGTCTCAACTCCTCTGCAGATTTTAAGAATGCGTTCTATAAGCGACAGCCATCTGTGCTTTTACTTACCTGCCAAAGATTTCTAAATTGTATTTTAATATGAATTGCATTCCGAAATAATGGAGCAAAGGAGAAGGCTCGATCCATATGCCTTGGCATAAAGCTTTCAGTAATTGAGCCTGGTTTGTATTTATTTCTCAGAACTCCAGACTAAAAACATATATTGCTCATTCTTGCCCTCCTTTAAGCCAAGTGTTATGCTCTTTGAATAGAACAGGTTCAGTTTCCCATGAAAAGTCTTCTTTCATTCCCAATATGAATGAATTGCCTTCAGTCAAAAAGACTGCAAAATTAATTCCCAATCTCTTTTTTTTTTCATAGTCTTGAATCTGGAACATGTGTTCACATGGACAAATTCAAAATGGTTGTTTATTCGTTCAGTCACTTCTGACTCTTCGTGACCGCATGGACCAGCCCACGCCAGAGCTCCCTCTCGGCCGTGGCCACCTCTAGCTCCTTCAGGGTCAATCCAGTTACTTCAAGGATACCATCCATCCATCTTGCCCTTGGTCGGCCCCTCTTCCTTTTGCCTTCCACTTTCCCCAGCATCATTATCTTCTCTAAGCTTTCCTGTCTTCTCATGATGTGGCCAAAGGACTTCATCTTTGCCTCTACTATCCTTCCCTCCAATGAGCAGTCGGGCTTTATTTCCTGGAGTATGGACTGGTTGGATCTTCTTGCGGTCCAAGGCACTTTCAGAATTTTCCTCCAGCACCACAGTGCTGGAGGAATCTTCCTTCCCTCAGCCTTCGTTATGGTCCAGCTCCCACATCCATAGGTTACTACGGCGATTACCATTGCTTTAACTATGCGGGTCTTTGTTGCCAGTGTGATGTCTCTACTCTTCACTATTTTATCAAGATTCAAAATGTGTACCAAATAATCACAATTGACAAAGCAGGAAGCCTTCCCAGAATAGGAAATCTCCAATACCAAGTCCCATAAGTACTTTATTAAAACTAAGACTGCCACACACTGCACACTGCACTTGGCCTATAATCCTTATATTCCACCTGTCACATCAGCACTTTTAATCCTGTACCCATTACTCTGTCCCGGCCCAGTTTTATTGTGTCTTAGTGTATTGTTTATTGCTTGTTGTTTATATTGCTTTAATTGTTTTTAATTTGCCTTTGGTTTGTATTGTTGTATTGTGTGTTGAGGCCTTGGCCTTTGTAAGCCGTATCGAGTCCTTCGGGAGATGCTAGCGGGGTACAAATAAAGTTAATAATAATAATAATAATAATAATAATAATAATAATAATGAAGCCTTGCCCTGTTTCCAGAAATTTGGTGAACAGTTTGAATTGTTATCCAGAAACCTTGCAGTATTTCTGAAAACTTATCAGGAGGCCCTGATAACATGGCACACAGAAATGTCTCTGGAGGACAACTTCCCACTGTTACCTATCATTTCCATTTTTGAGCAAATGTTGATGTTGTACCTGGTGCATAGAATCAGAGTTGGAAGAGATCACATAGGCCATCTAGTCCAATCCTCTGCCATGCAGGAAAAGCAGAAAGTATCCCTTACAGATGACCATCCAGCTTCCAAGTTTCCAAGAAAGGAGCTTCCACTATACTCTGAGGCAGAGAGTTCTACTATTGAACAGCTCATATGGTTAGGAAGTTCTTCCTAATGTTCAGGTAGAATCTCCTTTCCTGACATTTGAACCCATTGCCCTAAGTCAAGGACAGCAAAAAACATGCCTGCTCCCTCTTCCGAATGATACCTTTTCACATATTTATAAATGGCTATAATGTCTCGTCTCAATCTTCTCTTCTGCAGGTTAAACATACTCAGCTCTTTAAGAAGCTTCTCATAGGGCATGGTCTCCAGAACTTTGATCATTTTAGTCACCCTCCTCTGGATACCTTCCAATTTGTCAATATTACTTTTGAACTGTGGTGCCCAGAATTGGACACAGTATTCCAGGTGAGACCTAACCAAAGCAGAATACAAAGGCACCATACTGAGTAAATATTAAAATAGCATAATGGGGGAAGTCCTCTCTGTGGGTTTCAAGACTCTTCTTCTTCTGGATTTTTGCAGGTGAAGCTTGTAATGCAGAAATAGAAACCACACAATATAATTGCTGGAAAATAGCTTGGTAGTTTTCTAATCCAGTCCCCACTCCATCCTGTGCAATGTAGAGGGAACCAGAAAAACAAAATCTCTACCTTGAAGTTCTTATTGGCATTCACTACAGAGATTGTCAATCTTTGGTCCTCCCGATGTTTTGGACCTCAGCTGTCATGAGAAATTTGTACAGAAACAGGCAATTTGCTCAGTATTGTCACATGGGAAAGGGGGATAGCCATGTGTGGATGACCAGAAAGCCAGATAGTGACCCCAGATTTGGCTCAAAAACATTGCATTGCTTAATTTTGTGCCTACCGTACGGTAAAGGTAAAGGTTTCCCCTGACATTAAGTGTAGTTGTGTCCGACTCTGGGAGTGGTGCTCATCTCAATTTCTAAGCTGAAGAGCCGGTGTTGTCCATAGACACCTCCAAGGTCATGTGGGTAGCATGACTGCATGGAGCACCGTTACCTTCCCGCCAGAGCAGTACCTATTGATCTACTCACATTTGCATGTTTTTGAACTGGTAGATTGACAGAAGCTGGGGCTGACAGCAGAAGCCCTTTTGGTCAACAAGTTTAGCAGTGCAGCAATTTAACGCACTGCGCTACCATAGTTGCCCTTAATATGAAGGACAAGCTGTAATTGATTCAGGAGGACTGCTCTGTATCCAACTTGGTGACTTACAGCTATTCTTGAAAATGTGCATTGTTAAGACAATCTGGGTGTTTTCTATTCATTATGGAAAGGCTCCAAGGAACAGACATTGAACTTCCCAGAAACCGCTTAGAAAATTAAAGATCTTGAATGTTTTATTTAAGGAGATGCTTGTAGTGCAACCCGTGGAAAAATAAGTCTTAGATTAATTCACGTCATTAAAAGAGACAGCAGTGTTTTCTCACTGGTTGAAGAGGCATTGGCAGAGGCTTCCAGGATACACAATTGACTGGACTTTTGCCATTAGAGCTTTTGGCTCAGACATCTTTCTAATTTGGCGGCAGTCCTGCGCTCACCTTTGGATGCCAAGACATGTTCAGTCCCACTTGTTTGAACTGGCCAAGTGGTGAGCTTTGTGTTATCTGATCTCTGTTCATCCTTGTTATTTTGAAAGGCTCTGCGGCTGAAAAAGTCTAAAACTGTGATAAGGTTTATAAGCTGAAGATTAGATTGGTTTAAAAAGGCAACCAGCCCATTTCCCCACTTTTGAAAAGGCTCATAAACCACATTGTTGTAGAACATTTCTCTTTCCACAATGGCATGCGAATATATCCCGTAACTGTGTTGACAATTGTATTGATGCATTACTCAGTGAATAGACCAATTTATTGTGCATTGTATCTGTGACTTGGGATAGGTTCAAAACTTATGATGTTTTTCATCTGGGGTGGAAATCTGAAACTTTGAAGTCCTAACACTTTTCAAAGAACAGCAGTTTGCTCTTGTATAACTTTCACAGTAAATTACAGTAGTCCCGTTTATCCAACATAAACGGGCCAGCAGAACGTCGGACAAACAAAAATGTTGGATAATACAGAGTCTCCTACTGTTACCCATCCGATGTGACGCTAGACGCCAAAAATACTAACAACAAGAACTCAAAGGGTTAAGGCAACACCTCAAGGCTAGAGCGGCCCAGCAGGAAGTGCAAAAAAGGAGCGTGGAAATCATGGAAGGAGAGAGGGCACTTCTGCTTCCAATCCTGCCTCTTTTCCCTCTTTCCTCCCTCCTTCTCCTCCTTGTCTTGCCTTTTTAACTTATTGGGAATGGAGAGAGAATTGGGGAGCACTCTTTTCATTGAAGGGGAAATGCTGGAGGAAAAGGGGGGTGTCAGATAAGACAGAATGTCAGATAAGCGAAGGACGGATAAGCAAGATACTAATGTACTTTGAAAAGCTTTTAGTAAACTATTACCATTACCATTCCTTTTTTGCTTTGTTCACAGATGAATTAGCATTCCTTTATACTGTGCTATTCAGTTGTTTTCGTCCCCTACAAATGCGGAAGTAATACACATTTTGTTTTAAAAATTGAAATAGTCAAAAATCATTTCCTGATATTTATGTTATACCAATCCATTACAAACTTTTTTATCTGTTTTATCAGCATTTCTTGGGAAAATATTTTCTGGTCCATTGTCATTCCCTTCTCTTCCTGTGGTCTTGGTGGCTTTCCCTTCTTGCTCTTAATAGTACAGTGACATAGCCAATTGCCATGAATCGTAAAATCATAGAATCATGGAGTTGGAAGAGACATATGGGCCATCCAGTCCAACTCCCTGCCAAGAAGCAGGAAAAATGCATTCAAAGCACCCCTGACTGATGGCCATCCAGCCTTGTCTTAAAAGCCTCACAAGAAGGAGCCTCCACAACACTTGGGGGCACAAATTTCCACTGCTGAACAGCTCTCACAGTGAGGAAGTTCTTCCTAATGTTCTGATGGAAACAGATTGTGAAACCTCCCATCCAGGCCCATAGCCAGGATTTTGTTTCGGGGGGGGGGGGGGAGTTTGGTTGGGGGGGGGCATGAGTCTGAGTGAAAGAGGGTCTACCCTAGCAAACCTTTTGTATCGTTACCCCAATACCCCTATGCATATGGGATATATTGAGCATGGTGATCAGATCATGATATGAATAAACATAACAGTTTAAATAATGTACCAGTAAGGCCTTCTCGCGGACCACCATACCACCATGAGAATTTTGCCCCCCCACCCCCACCCGGCTACATGCCTGGTCAGGTGATACAAAATTTGTATTTTGGAGTGTAGCTCTATAATTGTAGGGCCACTGCTGAGGCATGATTTTTTTAAAAAATCATGAGTTTTTTCCATAAAGATTATACTCATTTTATACTATCTCTAGCTTCTCCACCATCCATGCCTTCAGAATTTACACTTGTATTTTCAAAACACACTTTTTTTCTCCTATGGGTTGACATACGTATTGCATACTCATAACTAGACACATTGTAGCTGAGTACACGATATGAATGCAGTTGGAGGGAGTGTATTTGAAATGACACTACAGTCCTGTATGTGTGCATTAACCCCCCTGTGATGGGTCTTTCACACATGGATCCTTTCTTCAAACAGCACCTATCATAGCAATATGGATATGAGTTGAAATAACCCTGGAATTGGAAGGCCAGCAGAAGCCTGGCCACCAGAATTAGTCCTTCTATTAGCTGTTGCGAAGCAGTTGACTGATTCAGGCAGCAGACAATAAGGACAGATAATGGGGGAATGTTGAAGGACAGTGAAGGCTATGAGCTACAATATAAATCTCTGACAGAAATCAAGCCACTAATTTAGTAGATGGTGGGAATGGTGTAGATGTTGTTTATCTGGATTTCAGCAAAGCAGCTGATAAAAGTCATCCATGCACTGGAGCGCGCTCACAAAATGACTTGAAGACACATAGCAACAAGTCAGCGTGGAGGTTAAATCCAACGAATAGTCCACTTGGTGTTTACACATGGAATGAGTTGGGAGGACATTGGCTCATCTTCTGCTTCAGGCAGCAACATTCCTTAGGCCAACCCTGATATAAGTCATCAGACTTCCTTTAATGTTCTTCACTCTGATGGTGGTTTGTCGCTATTATGATTCGCCAGCAACTTTACTGCTTGTTTGTTGATGCTGGAGTTGACTCTTTCAGCTTCCTTCTCATATTCTGGCACGCAGGTGCAACCCACTGGGATAGTCACATAATCCTCAGAGTAAACATAGCGGCCTCCAGTGCAGGACGCGGTTCGGCGCAAAATGACAGTCGGCATAAACACCGGCGTGCTTCGGAAGTGTAAGTTTTCTTCGCCGTAAACCCCAGTAAGGCACCCCTTGCACAGGCAGTAGGCTTCAGGGATGTACTTTGGATATCTTGTGGGGTCATAGGAGATTCTGTGCCAAAGGGAAAAAAGAAAAGACAAGATTCAGTGTGTGCACTCACTCCCATTGTTCCCCCACCCCATAAACACACACACACCTTATTTTGAGCCAGCTGGAAAATCTTATAACAAAATGTTGACAGTTGCTTTACAGTGTATAATGTTTTGTTATGCCAAGAAAGCAAAAAGAGCAAGGGGCAAATCCTACCATTTTCAAAGTTGAAATGCTTATTTGAAAACCTATTCAGCTCCCGAAATATATCAGCATCTGAAACCACTGGGCCTTCAAGTTTCTTTGTTTATAATGGCAAGCACTGGGCTTAAGCCTCATAAATGATTCAGATCAAAGCTGTCTTGAAGGGTCTGCCCAATTCTCACAACGTACAATGTATCTGGCTCAGTTTGGCACAGGGCTGTCACAAGACTACTTCTTGCCTCCCCATATATTTTCTGAGGCAACCACCTCACTGTGCCTATTAGTCATAGAATTATAGAACCAGAGTTGGAAGAGACCTCGTGGGCCATCCAGTCCAACCCCCTGACAAGAAGCAGGAAAATTGCATTCAAAGCACCCCCCACAGCCTCTGTTTAAAAGCCTCCAAAGAAGGAACATCCACCACATTCCAGGGCAGAAAGTTCCACTGATGAACAGCTCTCAGAGTTAGGAAGTTCTTCCTCATGTTCAGGTAGAATCTCCTTTCCTGTTATTTGAAGCCATTGTTCCATGTCCCAGTCTCCACGGCAGCAGAAAATAAGCCTGCTCCCTCCTCCCTATGACTTCCCCTCACGCATTTATACATGGCCATCATATCTCCTTTCAGTCTTCTCTTCTGCAGGCTGAACACACCCAGCTCTTTAAACCACTCCTCATAGGACTTGCTCTCCAGAATCTTGATCATTTGAGCCACGCACCTCTGGACACATTCCAATTTGTCAACATCTCCCTTCAATTGCAATACCCAGAACTGGACACAGTGTGATTCCAGATGTGATCCAATCAAGGCAGGATAGAGGGGTAGCATGACTTCCCTGATCTAGACACTATATTCCTATTTATGCGGGCCAAAATCCCATTGGTTTTTTTCCACCACATGACATTGTTGGCTCATGTTTAACTTGTTGTCCACGAGGACTCCATGAAGTCCCAGTCCTAGTTGGCCTTACTATTTGGCTAAAATACACAGCCACAGCCCCTGAGTTAAAAAAAAACTAAATATTTTTGGATGACAATTCATGGACTCTCCTGTCCTGGAGTTTTCCAAGTTATGCTCCCTCCTAGGACTCTTTGCATTGGAATCTGTCCTTCCCCTGGCTCTTCTATACATTCTTTGCACTGAAGTCATGCCCCCCACTGTGGATAAAGTAGTTACTATCCCTGTTTTCTGATGTTTAACAGTAGCTTGGACCACTTTTTCCATCATTCGGTGCCAGAAAAAGAAGCTTAGCATGATAGAAGGTATGCACATCAGGCTCCTGTTGAAAGCACTGGAGGATTCGCAGGCCAGTCCAAGTATGGTCGGCTTGAGACTTGCATTGTTTGTTTTTCCATGTGAGATCTGTTGCTTTACCCTTTTTTCCAAGGCAAAAGCATTGAACAGGTGTGATGCTTCATTATGAAACAGCAAAATGAGACTTCCTTCTCGCTTGAAACACAGGACCAATTTTTCTCAGCTCAAAAACTGCTTTTCTACAAATCCAAATTGTAATGGAAAGCTTGAAAAAGTTTTTAGAAAGTCTGGGTTTAAAATGCACAGGACCCCACAGAGCTAATCTCCTAGAAATTTAAGAGCTATTCAGTGATGCAAGTCGATCTGGCCTCAGTCTTGGATCAAGAACATCTGAACCAGAACCAAGACTAGGTCATGAAGGGTAATTTGTCTCTTCTGCCGAGGTTTATGCCTTCTTCCAGACTATTTGGAATTCTTTGGCTGTCTTCCTTGAGTTATCTGGAGCACACCTGCTCTCTTTTCAAAGCACAAAGATATTGGCAGAAGGATGGACCAGCATGGACTGCTCTACATAGAGCAATAATCAAACTGGCAGCATCTACCTCTGTATGGTATTTGCTCTTCTTTAAAGTTATGCAGCATGAACTAGCCAAGCACAATTTTAGAAGTTATCTTTTCTAGTTCCCAGATGTTTTCAGTATAAATCTGGTGTTAAGGCTTTTGCAACTTTAACTGAGTGCTTTCTGGCTTTGCTCTAAGGATTGCCTTCTTCTCTTAAATACTGTACTCTCAGTAAGCAAGGGTTGTTTCAGCAGAGTCTTTTGTGCTGGCATGAATCCACTACTGGGCTGGCTTCACATATAGTGCCTTGTTGGAGCATGTAAAAACCAGTTGGTGAGTGTGTTAACTGAAAAATGCAAAGCACAAAACTGATTGGTTGGGCCATGCCTGAGAAGCTAGCTGAGCCTGGGAGTTTTGGCAACACTTACGTGTTTAAGTTTTCTGTGCAGGAGCTTGCCAAGACAGTTTTGTATTTTTGCTTCTTGGCTGCTTGAAGATGTCTCACATGGACACCCATGGACCGAAGCCCCCGGTGGCGCAGTGGGTTAAACCAACTGAAGGCTGACAGGTCACAGGTTCAAGTCCGGGGAGAGGTGGATGAGCTCCATCTATCAGCTCCAGCTCCTCATGCGGGGTCATGAGAGAAGTCTCCCACAAGGATGACAAAAAACATCAAATCATCTGGGCGTCCCCTGGGCAACGTCCTTGCAGACGGCCAATTCTCTCACACCAGAAGCGACTTGCAGTTTCTCAAGTTGCTCCTGACATGACAAACAACAACAACAACAAAACCCATGGACCATTTTAATCTCTCTCAAAGAACATTGTGTGAGTCAATGCAACTGTTCACATGACTGTATGTATGTAGCTCTGCATAACAAAGGGTAACCTCTTATTCTTTGCTGAAGATCTGCATGGCCTATCTTTTCTGTAGCAAGACAATGTATGAATTAGTAAAGACATGAACTATGGGTGATTTTCATTCCACCACACCCCTTAAATGACAACATAAACAACACAAACCTTTAAAATTGCTGTAGGTTGGGGGTTCAGGGACAACCTGTCTCTTGAACTAAAGCTAAAAAGATATTTTATATATATATATATATGTATATATATATATATACACACACACACACACACACACACCTTAATCTTTCTCCTGTGGGAAGGGGGAATTACAGTAGCACTAGCAGTAAATCTGGTGTTTGTTTTAAAATAGGGAGGGGGAAGGAACTGGCTATAAATATGGTTATCAGAACTAGGCAAGTCCAAAACTAAAGGTCAGTGGACTAAAATGAGTGAAGCCATCACCCATCCTTGCTTCATTGATAATTTGGAAGTGTGATATCTCAAGATATTCATTGGAATTTGCAGATTATTGCTCCATTGGCCTCTGCTGATATTCTTTTTAGGGACTGCTTATAGGAATTACTTGATGAGGCACGACATCTCTTCAAAATATTTCAAGGAGTGTAAATTGCTAAAGTAGGAATCAGAAAGAACTGCAGAACTATCAGAAATATGTACTTCATAACTCATCCCAAAATACAGTATTTTGCTATTCAGGTCACATTAAATGCTGCCCTCACAAGCACCTCTCACTATCTTTCAATTTAAACGCTGACAAAATTACAATACTGACTATTGAAATAACCACTGCTGCAGCATCTGAAATTTGTTACCTAAACTGCCACCTCATGGTAGGGCTAGGAGACATTTTCCAATTGAAAGACTGTATAGATCAGTGGTTCCCAACCTTTTTTGGCCAGGGACTACTTGGCCAGGGACCACTTTGACCAGGGACCACTCTTCAACATTAGTACCAAAAGGGTTACGAATCAGTTTCTGGTCAACTTTAGATTCAGTTTGGTTATTTGGGATGCTGATTCAGAAAATTGCATTTGATAAACCACATCAGCTCCTGATAAAGAAGTCACTAGCTGCAGGAAAGGCTGCTGACCCAGAGACTCAACAGTTCGGCGGCTGAGGGGGGAAAGGAAGGGGGCTGAGGCTGTTAGGAATTGTGGGAGTTGTGGGAGTTGAAGTCCAAAACACCCGAGGGCCCAAGTTTGCCCAGGCCTGGCAACAGTCTTCAGGCTTAATTGCACCCCCCTGAATTGACCACGATCCACTGCATATCTGTCTGTTTGGATCACAGATGCAGGCAACATCTGGCAAGAAGTATTCAGAAGTGATGGCAAGAAGTATTCAGGCCTAGCGAAGCAGCCAGTGAATCAAAAACGGTCTGCAGTTCATATGTGCTCATCCCAAAACTGATGCTTTTACAATACAAAAGTGATTTTTTGGCTTTTACAGCTGGCACGTAAACTTGGCTTTCAGGCAGCATCGCTTTGGGGCCTGAGAAAACCCAGCATTATCATTTGAAAAATAAGCACCATCTTAAAATATATCTCACTAGACAAAATATGGACAATAAGCGAACATAATGCCAAGTCTCAGACCTAGAAGGGAGAGGGAGGGTAGTTTGCAGATGGGAAACAATGGTCTTAGTACAAAATGTTTGCTCTCAATGGTATATTCTCTGGTAATGGAAATTAGAATGACTTGGAATTGAACTATTTTTCCCTAGCCTAGTTAAGGTTATTTGTAACTAATGGTGTGCCTACAATGTAGAATGACTGCAGTTTGACACCACCTTAACTGAGATGGCAAGTAGCTTCTGATGTTATACTGCTTAGCCGATATTGCACCACCTGACATCCATCATGAAGTAGAAGCCTATAATGAAATGACCAAAGCAGTGACATCTTCTGTTCGGATATCAGATAGAAAGCCAACACCTTAAATCAAGAAATAAGCTTCCTAAGATCTACAGAAGAGCATCTCAGCAAGCAAGAGTCCAAAAGTGGCAGGTTAAAACCCGGAAACTCCATCACTGGCTGATAACCGGATGAGAGACTTGTTCCTGGGCACACAGAAGACTTGGTGACTTGGAAAGCACTGAACAGACTACGCTCTGGCACCACGAGAAGAAGAGCCA